TTGAGAGATTTGCATTTGTATTGTAAAATATTGATGATAAATTTATATATATATTTATATAATATATAATCAATCAATCATGGCTTTGCTAAAAAAAGAACTCTTTTCCCCTTCGATGCTGTTCTGAAACATGAAACACTGTGTGTGTTTGACCATTGCATACTACGTTGCCAATACTACAGTGTGATGAGACTTTTGTTCTTGCATGAATCGAGACACTGTTCTCCTACCTCATGTTGTGATATAAAAAAATATGTTTTTTAAGCAGAAGAAGCTGCATCTCTAACTGTTTATCATCATTGATATTTACTAGTAAATGACATACCTGTAAATGCTTTTAGCTAATACCTCAGTTGTATCTAGTGTTTGTTTTTTTTCTGTTTTTGCCCTTCCCTGATTTCGGATCTTGTAAATATATACCCTGTATAGATAATGAACTTGGATCAAATTCAAGTAAAGTTCTGTAGTGTCAAATCAGTGTGGTCTGTCGCCTTTTTTATTTGCCATCGTCACTTCCTTATTTGCTTAAGATTCGAGTCAACCGCAATATGAACAAACAAATGTTTTGTGTTGCGTAAACAAAAAAAGAGCGGCATCTCCCGAGCCAGAGCATGTCAACCTTTACATACACAAATATGTTTTAGAGCTGCAACAGCTGGTCAGTCAATCGTTGGGGGATCAACAGAAAACGTTTGACTCGTTAAAAATGACAAACTGAGCTTGTTCCACTCAAATGTTAAGATTTCAGTTTTTTCTTCGTCTTTTAGATAGTGAAGTGAACATTGGGCAGATGAATCTATAATTAAAATAATCCTAATAGAAGCCCTGAATATGTGATGAGCAGTATTGCAAGAGGTACTCAAATAATTTTATACTAGTGTAGAAATACTCTTTAGAGTAAAAGTATTGTTTAAAATATTATCAAATATTCTGAAAGTACCAACAGTAAAAGTAGTCATTTTGTGTTCAATAGTCCATTTCAGAAAAATGTACATTATATTATTGTATTATAATTATTGATGCATTAATATATTCACCATCTAAATATTGCATCAGGTTAATGTTAGAAGTTCAAATGGATGTGACACAAATTAGACTATAAATCAGAAGTTGTTTGTCCAATCATCACAAAACTCGCAGGATGAAAACAGCTCAGAAGGACGCGCCTTAAGTTCCACACATGTCCATGGGCTTGGTTTAAATATGGCCATAAATCAATGAAAATATATCCAAACATCACCAGCGAGGGGTATTTACAATGAAGTTGTTGGAACATGCGTTATCGTTGGAACATGCGTTGTCATTAGTGCACGTGTGTAAGTGTAAAAGATTAAGACCATTTACAGCTCTCAACTTCTAATCCGTCTGTGTTGGCTTGAACTCGGGAATCGCTACTTGCAGCTATAGTTTATATATATTACTTTATATACTGCTGGGTAGCTTGTGAATTCCCCTCTTATTGGTATATTATATTTGTTGATTATATTTTGTATTAATATGAATCTGTAAAGTAACTAAAGTTATCAAGTAAATGTAGTGGAGTAGAAAGTACAATATGTCCCTCAAATGTAGTAAAAGTAGCAGAAAATGAACGGTCTTGAATAACATGCAAGTACTTTAAAAATGTTGCCTAAACGCAGTACTTGAGTCAATATACTGGTGAGAAGTATATCTCATGGTATATTATACTGTGGCTTAAGTTTCATCAAGTAGAGCAGAGAGATTTTCATTGGATTGGATTATTTTTGAGTAAATCTTATTTTGATAGCAAGGCTGCAAAATCTGAGTGTAAAAATTGTGTTTGTAATTTCATATTTATATTTTCTGCAGCTTTTCAGCATAATCGCAGAAAGCCCTCTGACACATCTGACTTCAAAATGGCTCCTGCTGAACCTTAGTTTCAGGAGAGATGGACAATTCTTCTTTCACCAAACATATTACAATTCATTCTTTAGTTAATCCTTTTAATAGTTGTTCATACATTTCACTCAAAAAAACACAAAAGTCAACCTCGTGGCACATAAATATGAAGTCAGGGGATCACCAAAGTCATTAGGATTCATTATCATAGGACCATGAATGTATACCAAACATTGCAATCCATCCAACAGTTGTTGAGACCTTTCATTCTGGGCCAAAGCGGTGCACTAACTGACAGACACGATACATTGAAATGTCCACTCACAGAAGCTGTCAGGAGGAACTGCTGCCAGGCCCTGCGTTACCTCCGACACTGGACAGACGGCACATAAAACGATCGCTATCAGAAGGCTGTTGAGGAAGCAGAGCCAGGCGATGTTCAGACCCAGGTATGCAGGTATCCCCACAGGTAGCAGGAGGATCATGGCCAGGAAAAACAGGAACGGGGCCCATGTCTTCAGAAATATATGTATGGTTTGATGAACGACATCTCTTCTGGAGTGAGCTCTACTCTGGTCTGTGCTTTGGTCTTTCAAAGGAGGATTTTTTAAGAATCGTGTGCTGCACGCAGCATACAACGCTGCACAGCACAGAGTCAGGAGGAGAAACATGCAAACCTGCAGGATCTGAGTGGTGTGGATTATCCAGCACTGGTGTATCTGGATGTGGTACACACCCTCCATGACAGGAATCAAGTCTGACAGCAGGAAGACGTAGAGAACAGCGAGGTACCACAAGAGGCCGGTCACAAACAAGCAGACAATGAATGTGGTCCTGCCAGTGACGGGTTGCAACCTCCGAGTGACTCTGAGGAAATGGTCCAAACCGGCCACGACTACAACAGGCCACTGCAGAGCATTGCACATCTGTCCAAGGATTTGAACCAACAAACATACGTGGTACCTGGTCAGCTTCAAACCCAGGAGGAAGACGTATCCATCAGCGTGCATGTGAAGGGTGGTGACAAAGAGGGTCAGGATTGTGTCGACGACAGCGAGGGAAACACTGAAAACTCCCAGGAAGCTTTTGCAGATGTGGTTCCACTGGAGAAACACCAGAGCGCAGCTGAGCAGACATTTTCCTCCCAGACCGAGCAGGATGGAGGGGATGGAGATAATCATGGTGTGCAGTTTTTAACCAGAGGTGCGTCAGATGCAGTGGGTCATTATGGAAAATCTGCCGCTGCAGGGGGGAGAGAAAGAGCATTTAAGCAGCATTTTATCATCCGTTTGTTTTTGCCAACCTCAATATACGCAAGTCTTCCAACTCCCACAGGAAATATGTGGTTCTTTGCTCCACTATGTTCTAGAGCTGAGAGGAACTGCAGTGATCACGTGATCAAATTGTCAATTCAGAAATATTGTTTAAGATTGGACTGATTACAACAGTAGCACACATCACACCAACTGTCAGCAGATAATGACTCGAATGCTGCTGAACTCTGACCTGACTCCCTTTTTTTTCCAAATGATCCTTGCTCACTTCAATCCAATGAGAAGAGATACAAAAGACACAAACTGCCAGAAATATCTCCTGTGAAATACAAAAGACTGTTCTAACTTTGGAAGAAAATACAAGTTAGTGTTGGACCCCACTGATCATAGCAAGATGCTGATTGAGAAAACATCTTTTCAGGCTTTTAAATGAAATAGAAGACTTCTGTGACGACCCTCACCAGTTTTCTTCAGCTTTGACGGAAGCGTTTCACGCGTCTGCATGGAGACAGTGTCCAACAGAAACCAGGCACTTCTTCTGTTCCAGTTAACAGCAGAAACCTCAAGCGTCTCATCGAAGTGTTTGAGATGAAGGAAGCGTAAATGATGAAAAGACGAACTGAGTACTGATTAATCTGTACACTTCAGGGGCTTCTGGTTTCCCCAAAGGTCGTCATGTTGATTTTCACCAACAAAATTTCACTTCTGCTTTGCAAAACTGTCATTCACTCTGCAACCATTTCAGTTAGCTCAATCTGTGACAATAAACCCAACCAGGAAATGGAGCACAGGCACACAGTCTACACTGAGTTTAAAGGGAAAGTGGTATTATTTCATAAGGATATTATATAATAGGAATATTACTGCTATCTGAGTAATATTATTATTCCCTCTGAGGCAAATTTGTAATTTGTGATTTTGGGCTATACAAAAATAAATTGAATTGAATCTGAGTTGGGAATGTATTTGCTTTTTGCTTGCACAGCATATTGTTTCAGGGATGATGATATATTTTTTCGTGATGAAGTTTACATTATATGCCAAAGTTATATTTTGGATTTCCTTACGTTTGACTGTTTTGAGGCCAATAGATACTAAGAGATAAAAAAAAATACATACAATTTTTGTAACTACACAATTTTCACCTCAAGGTCTACTCAGTAGCTGTTCTGGAGCTTTTGATTGTATCACACGATCTTCCTCCAAAAATGGAGATTAAAAGTTAAGTCTTCACCAAGTAATTCGACTATTTCCAAGGTAGAAGAATGAACTCTGTGCTTATTTTCATTTGTACATTTTATATTCATTTCATAGGAAAATTGACGGCACACAGAGTTCTTCAGATACAAAAATACATTTCTTATTCTGTGGGCAGAAGGTTGACTGAAACATATAATTTTTTCAAATTGTGTCACCTTTTGAACGTTGAATAAATTGATTACTTTTGCATAAATACATTTTTGCATAGTCCATGAGCAATTTGACAAAATAAATCCATTCTTTTTGAGTATGTGGAGCAGAATGGGGTCCAAACTATCATTTCTCTCTGTTGAAATCAACAATTGAGAAGCTTGTTTGAGGATTAATTTCTACTCACCCTGTAAACCCAGAAGTGAAGTTACAAAACGTCTTTTCTCTTTGTCCATAGCTGCTTCTGTGATGCTACAGCTGAATTACACTCCTCATTGGCTGCGTTTTTGTTGGCAATGCACCGGTAACAACGCAGGTAGAGCTGTAGAACCTGTTTTAAAATAGTGACACAGACATTATCAGAGAGTGAACTGAGCATACAGATGTATTAAATAAGTCCTTTTTACTATTTTTATTGCACTTTTTTGAATTAAGATAATGTTGCAGTGCTGCAACATATTTATCAATATTGATAAATCATCATTTATCACATCCAGCTTTACACTAAGTAATTCTCTCACTTTGACACAAGACTTTTGCAACACAACACTCATGCAAACACATGCAAAAACAGCATTACCTTTGGATTCATTACCTGTGTGACTGTGGTCATCTGATGTTAGATGCAGCACTGTATGTCCGTCTGTTCCCTTCATGAGGTTATCAAATATCCAGCATGAGTGCAGCTGTATTTAAAAGGTTGTGTTTAGAAGGCGTGGTTGAAAGAAAGGCAATGCCACACCTCTAAGCTCTGGCAAAGGAAGTTCACAAATCCTAAATCTTGTTTTTAATACATTATTTTAATTTACATTATTTACATTATTTTAATTTATTTATTTACTGTTTTATGAACTAACAATTTAACAAATTATACTCCACTCCTTCTCCTAAATAGTTCTCATGACTGGATTTTGTTTGAACTCGTCTGTCATTCAAGACAATCAGGTCGGAGCCAGCTACTGTATGTGAAAGGATCGCATTTACACCAACATCCAATCACATAACAAGCTCTGCCCCGAAACAACGTTTTAATGATAATGAACTGAGTTTTAAAATACTTTTACATTATCAATTGTATAATGTCTTAACTTATTTGTAATTTAGAACACTTTGGGTCCAATAATAGTAAAGCAGAAAAAGCAAATGTTAAGTATTAAACTTGTACTAAACCACAATACTAGATTACATATACTTTTAATTAATAGTTTGGTTTTCTTATTTTGTCTTTAGATAATAAATCAATCAATGAATACAATTTAATATATTATATATTATTTTTTGTACTATTTTTAAGTAACTAGTAGCATAAATTAATGTATTAAATAAATGTATTGGAGTGCAAAATATAACATACAATTGAAATACTCAAGTAAAGTACAATCCCCTCAAAATTAAGATAAAATAAGTTAAGATAAAATAATATTTATTAGTCCCGCAGCGGGGAAATTTACATGATTACAGCAGCATAGTGGATAGTGCAAACAAGAGGTATCGTAAAAAACAAAAACAAGATCAAAACAAGTATTATAAATAAGTAATAAAACAGTAAAGAATATTAACTAAGTAAAAAATCCACAATAACTAAAAATATTATATATACAGACAGAATTATTTTTTTTTTTAACTTGAGTACAGTAGGCTACTTGAGTAAATGTACTTTCCACTACTGATTACATTTGTATTTATTTATTGTTTAATCTCTTTGTTGTATTGTTTGTTAAACCTGATCCGCCCCTCACTGTGTATTATGTGTGATAGGTGTGTTCAAAAAACAATAAAGAGTTAAAAAAAAATAGCAACTTGTCAGTTTATTAATTGATTATACTTTAAACACTGTTTATAATTTAAAACGACTCAAAAAAAGTCTGTAGATTTCAATTTTGCTGTTTCACCAAACGTGGCGCTGTCCCTTTAAGAGAACCCCGGTCCTGCGCAGAGACGTGCCCGCTGTGTGATACCCCTGAACCGGCCTAGAAAGCATCACTTCCCTCTCGGTCGTGCGCCTGTCTTATCAGCTTTTTAGAGTTTGACGGCGCTGTCCGTCTTTATAGTGTCTAAACACACTCGGTCCTTGATGAAGCAGTAGCGATATGAGCGTGTCTGCTTCTCTCTGACACAGTAAGGCTTCGTTTCCTTTCAGAGGTTCAGACCGGGCTAACGTTAGCTAGTGGAGCTAATTGCTAGGTAACGTCCGCTGTCAACACATCAACAGTCACGTGAGAGCCGTTAGAATCTAATGGTTAGATGAACAAACGTTAACTATCAACCAGTAAACTGAGACAAAAGTTAACTTTTAAAATTTATGTTACCTGGAATGTGAATTATTTATCAGTTAATCCTTATGAATGAATTATTTATGAATGACACTTGAAATAGTTTAATTATTGGTCTTCACATGTTTAGGGATGCAACAGATGTTTAACTCATTGTCAGTTCACCTGCTGAAAAGCTGGAGCCAGAGAATGTTTAGTATTTTAGCTTCATAACTGACTCAAAATATTTAACTATTAACAACAATCATATACACAAATGCTATTTGACATTAGTTACTTGGTAACCGACTACTGAAATAACCCACTAATTGTTTGAGCTCTATTTAAAGTGGAAATCCTGATGAATGTGTGTGAAAACAAAATAAATTGGGAGTCTTTGGTGCCTAAAAACCATCTTTTAAACAGACGTTTCTGTTTCTGGCTTCCCCTCCAGAATGGAGGACTCAGCATCGGAGCCCGTGACGCAACCCTCAGCGGCCTCCGGTCAGCTGTCGGAGTCGGCCGGGTCCTCCTCCACGCACCGGGATGGCCTGGCCAAGTGTCCAAGGAGACGGCGGAAGGCGGCGAGGTCGCAGCGACGGGGGGGTAGTGATGAACAGCTGCTCGGGGAGATTGAGCGGCGGAGGTTGCCTGGTCAACACGAGCACTCGGAGCCCTCTGGCTCGGCGAGTGACACAGCGGAAAGCTCTCCTAAGAGGTTTGCACTGCAGGTTGCCAGCTGGTCCTCCGTGCCACTGCCTCAGCTCTGTTGCCCGGGACAAGATGTTGTAGTGTCTTGACCTGCCCCGTCCTCATTTTCTCTCTCCTCACAGGAGAGCCCACTTTCTACATGGACCATATCCAGCCACTCACTTCGGACCCAAAGCCTGTATTCTGCCCAACCCAACTTCAGTCATGTAAGCATGAGGGTCGAAACTTTGTCTCTGTACTAAACTGGCATGTACCAAAAAAAGCTTGTGTAACTGTGTGAGATAAGATAAAATGGGGAATGCTGTGATTGGATGGTACATGACATGGGATGGCTAACGGAACAGACCACGGATGCTCGTTGTCATCTGATCTAAAGAGTGTTTCCTCTCACTTGATCTGAAAACACGGACAAAATTGTGCGCACAATGCCTGTGATCCGCCACGCAAGGGAAGAGAGAGACAGGTAAAGAGGAGGAGAAAGAGTTTTAATATTCTGAGGTTTGGAGTTTGGACGTCACTCCTTCAGGTGAAAGTGTCACAACAGTTAATGAATGACTGCAGCTGTTGTAGATTCACCTTTCACTTTACTTGGAAGATGAGGTAAGACCTGCTATCATGGTGGCATTTCACTCTATATGGAATGATTATGTAACAGTCAACTCTATTATCTGTTTCTGTGCGTCTATTGTATTCATTTCCAGGCAAAAGATGTGTTTGTTTACTTCACTTGTGTGTGTTTTCGTTTCCCAGGCACATCCAGGACCCGGCCAGCCAGCGGCTCACCTGGAATAAACCGCCCGTCAATGTGCTCGTCATCAGGAAAATCAGAGACGAGAGCCTCGTCGAGCCTTTCAAAGAGCTCTGCAGGTTTCTGGTGGAGGTACAGCACTTACATAATATATGTTTGTTCACGTATGTTCTACGAGGTTAATGTTGGTGGACCTTGGTGTCTGAAACAGCACAGAAATCAGATTCTGACACTCTGAGATGAGACGTTCTTGATTTTTTGGTTATTTCACACATTAAAGGTTCGCTATACAACATTCAGAGCATCGATATAGCGAGGTAATGTCTACCTGAGCAGATAATGAAGTCACTCTCCCTTTATGTGTGATGTCATTTGAGTTTCTCTGTGCTTTGCTTATGTAGCCGGGCCGGCTGCCCGTGCCTTTTAGTGCATGTTAGTGCACGTGAGCGTGCTCCAATTGTTAGCTCATGGCCGCCGCGTTGCTCTGCTCTCATACGCCCACCCACATGTTCCCCCTCAGGTAAACACTGTTAGCACAGTTAGCACCGTTAGCTGTGAGCCGCCGACTCAGCCCTCGCCATGTTGAGAGCCGTGTTGAGGCAATAGATATGCTCTGAATGTCGTTTTGAGCACCTTTGATGACACATCATTTTCACTTAACATTCAATTAATTGTGTTATTAGGTATGACTGTTATATACTGCTGGGAAGTACTAACAAAAGGATACATTGTTATTATTCCATTATACTTTTATTCTTTGTCTGTCTATGGAGACTGTCTATGACAATGAAAGAGGTGTTAAACTGCATTCTATGTAGTATTAAAAGGTTCTTAAAATGTCTTCCCTTGCTAACACTACATGTTTTCCTATCTTGGTCTACTGATTGTATTGAAATACATGTAAATCAATTTAAGAGTAATAGCATCTTGCAATTTTGTGTATGGGTTTATTATTAAGGGTGTCAGATTATTTGATTTCAGTTACAGTTTTGACCGTCGCTGCTATTAACTATCAAACTATTAAACTATTAAACTATCAAACTATTAAACTATTAAACTATTAAACTATCAAACTATCAAACTATTAAACTATCAAACTATTAAACTATTAAACTATCAAACTATTAAACTAGACCCGTTTGTGACACTGAAAAACAGGGAGTCTGGCATAAAGCATCCAGTAAATGAACCAGACATGTTACAGACTGCTCTCACGCAGCTAAAACAACTCTTGGCCTCACATTTCCAAAACAAGCTGTGTTTTGTCCAAAAAGACGGCCAGTGATGGCTCGTATTTACATTCCACACAGACGGCATCACGGTGAACCACACACGTTTTGGTCGTACGCTGAACTTCATTTAGGAAAGAGTACTTTTGAGAGACGTCCGTGTGCTTTGGCTGCCGTCACTAAAGCGTGTCTCTGTGTATCAGGAGAAGCAGATGATGGTGTACGTGGAACGCAGGGTAGCAGACGATGCTACGCTGTCAAAGGACGAGGCGTTTGGCTCCATACGCAATCAGCTCTGCACCTTCAGAGAGGGTGAGACTCCACGACAGAGACACATTAACGCTCAACTGAAGGCATTCATTTGACATGTTTTCTAGATGAAGTAGATGTTAAGTTCTGTGTAAGTTTCAGCTGTAAAATGTTAAATTTAAAGGTACTCATTCTAACGACTTCATGTGCTTTTGGTCCGTTTGATAACATTATTTGTCACACTGGCCACATGTTTGCCTTTGACTGACTTTAAGACATTATCTCCTTTATTGGCCTCCTGAAATATGAAAAGAATCCACTTTTTTCTTACATTCTTAAATGAAAATGTTACTTATTGTGAGCATGGTATACAGCTGTGAAAATGAAAACAAAGATATTAAATATAAAGTGTTTTTGTCCGCCTGCAGGTTATGATGATATCTCTGACTGCATCGACCTGATCATCTGTCTGGGTGGAGATGGAACTCTGCTCTACGCCTCCTCTCTATTCCAGGTAATCACACGTTTATTAGTTGATCTCTGATGTCTTCAACATGTTATACTACAGAAAAATATATTCAAAATACAGAAACATTTCTTATGCCTTGGCCTGTCTAATATTTAAAAATGTACAAATCTTTGATTAACATTTTACTTTTTATGTGGTATCAATGGTTTTCTATTTTTAAATTATTTGCCGGAATCCTTTTTGTGATCAATGTGAAAAAAAAACAAAAATCAAGAACAAACTTTTTAAAATTAGAAAATCAAACAAGACAAATAACATAAAATGCTGAAATTCAAAACTGAATTTTTGTCTCTTTTTTAAAACTATTGTCTCAGGGCAGCGTTCCTCCGGTGATGGCGTTTCACCTCGGATCTCTGGGGTTCTTGACGCCTTTCAAATTTGAGTCATACAAGACCGAAGTGGCCAAAGTGTTTGAAGGTAGAGCGGAGCGCTAAACGCACTATTGGTCGAATACGTGCGAGTGTAAACACTAGTTAATGTGTGTGTGCGCTGATGTTCGCACGTGTGTCTGTATGTGTGTTTTCAGGCAACGCGGCCATCACTCTGCGCAGTCGTCTGAAGGTGAAGGTGGTGAAGGACATGCTTCAGAGAACAGGCCGAGAGCAGCAGGAGCACAATGGACTCCTTCCTCACGGACACGCCAACAACGAGGCCGGGAAGGTCACCCTGCAGCTACAGGTGAGATCAGACAGGTCTGACAGGTGAGCGGGGACCAAGTGCTTCTTGAGCCAAGAAGTACACAAAGAAGTACACAAAGAAGTACACAAAAAAGTACACAGAGAAATACACAGAGCAGGGTGAAGGAGGACTTTAAGTCCTTTAGGTGATCATGTGCGTGTATTCTGTCCTCATTATACGACTTAGTGTGTCTGTGTCCCTTGTTTCCTTTTTGTTTTTTTAACCCTGGGTGCGTTTCTACATGTTTACAAGCTCAGTGAGCGAGTCGGGTTGCCGTGGGAACAGTCATAATAAAGTAGGATGTTTGGGAAGTTCTGTTGAGCCAGTTTCCATGGAGACGCTGAACGTTAAAGGCGCAGTCGAAGACGAATCGATATTTAATGAGCTGTGACGCTCTCGGTCTGACACACTCTGTAACTTAACAACACGCCTGACTGCTGCAGACACACAGAAACACATACACAGACACACGCACACACACACACACACGTACATAGACACAGACAGACACACACACACAGACACGCACACACACACGTACACAGACAGACACACGCACAGACAGACAGACACCCACACACACAGACAGACACACACACACATACATATACACAGACAGACAGACAGACAGACAGTAGGAAACACACACACACACACAGACAGACAGACAGACAGACAGACACACACACATACACAGACGCATACACAGACACAGACAGACAGACAGACAGACAGACAGACAGACAGACACAGACAGACAGACAGACAGACACAGACAGACAGACAGACAGACACAGACAGACAGACAGACAGACAGACAGACAGACAGACAGACACAGACAGACACACAGACACAGACAGATGGACACAGACAGACAGACAGACACACACACACACACACTGCTGCAGTTTGTCATTTTCAGTTCAGCTTTCTCTCCTCGCTCCGTCTCGTGGATAAATAAAAGGCAGTGACGGATGGTTCTGGTCTCTGAGCCTGAGTCTGACCTCACATTACATCACGTCTGCTGCATCCAGCAGGATGTTTGCTCTGTGTGTTCAGCTGACGTCAGTAAATCAGGCGGACATCACTGCTCAGCGCTGCAGTACTGTGGGAACCATGATTTGTATGCTGCTTGTCTGCACACCAGCATTTGTTCCTCTGCTTGTAGTTTCCTCTTGTACTGTGGGAATGTAAAGCACTGAAACTCTGCGTCTCTTGCTGGCTGATTTATTGAAGAGTACCCCATTGTATGGAGCATTTCGACATCATACAGCAAGGAGCAGTGCAGTTATTTTGCCTTCATCCTCCCTGCCAGAGAAGTTGTGTTTACAGTTGTTGTTCGCTGGATGTATGAACAATTACAGATATTATTGAAATTTTGGTTCAGACGTAGACGACGGGATAAACTGATTAGATTTAGTTGTGGATAGAAACATCGAGCGGCCATTTATAAAGCACTCTACAGTGTGTACACTCTTTACAAACCTTCAATTAAGTCCCATCACATTCTTACATGAACACATCATTCTCCACGTTTCATTTTTCAGCACTCCTTCTCCATACTTTTCATCCAGTTTTCTGTATTTTTGGTTAGAAACACATTTGATTGACCCTTGAAAAGATTATAATTATTATTATTATTATTAATATTCCCTCACATTTTCTTGTTGTTGGTTGCCATTTTCACATATATGTGGATGCACATGAACACATCAAAACAGTGATGGCATTTGGCCTATAGATGGCACTACAGTAACATAGTTAATTGAAATGGTCATCAACATATGTCACTATTTTGAGACCGATTCAGTGTCAAATTTGAATTTGTTTTATTGATCGTAGGCATCAAACAATGTACATTGTATATACAGATCTTCAGATGATGCCCACTTTAGTTATACACATATAGAACAAGGAGTGAAACAAAGAACAAAAAGAAAACTGTCTAACGAGGGAGTGATCTATTCTCTACGGTACATTCATCGATTTATGAAAATAAATAATAATAAAGTCAGGTCTATGGGGTGTTACATATGTAACCCATTTGTCCTAATATGAGTGTATGTGTGTTTTCAGGTGTTGAATGAGGTGGTGGTGGACCGAGGCCCGTCCTCCTACCTGTCCAATGTGGACTTGTACCTCGACGGACGGCTCATCACCTCTGTGCAGGGAGACGGTAAGAGCAGTCATACACTTCCTCTTGTCATGTAATGCCACTCTTTCGTCATGACTCATATGTATGGTGAATAAATGTGGTGAATGTCCTCTCTCTCTCTCTCTCTCTCTCTCTCTCTCTCTCTCTCTCTCTCTCTCTGTCTGTCCTCCAGGTGTGATTGTATCCACGCCTACAGGCAGCACAGCGTATGCAGCCGCGGCAGGAGCCTCCATGATCCACCCCAATGTACCCGCCATCATGGTCACCCCCATCTGCCCACACTCGCTCTCCTTCAGGCCCATCGTTGTCCCTGCTGGGGTGGAGCTCATGGTAGGAATGAAGGGGAAGGAGGCTGGTGCATGTTGCTGTTTGTCCAATTTTTTCCATTGACCAACAGATTACTGTACTATGGAATTTTCTATCTTATATATTTACCCAGCTACTTTTTAGCCATGCCAGGGAGGGCAATGTCGGTCTCTGGAGTTGGTGTTTTAGTTAGTTAGTCAGTCAGTTAGTGTGTATCCTTCCAATAACTCGTAACTGCTTCTCCTTCCAATCAGATCACCTTGTCCCCTGATGCCAGGAACAACGCCTGGGTGTCGTTTGACGGCAGGAAGAGACAGGAGATCCAGCATGGAGACTGGTAAAGTTCATTATCAGCTGCCGTTTCATCACATCACATTTATTTTTCCTCCATTTAGGATTAATTTGCTTTTCTCTCGAAAACAGCATCAAAATTACTACATCTTGTTACCCGGTGCCCTCAATCTGTTGCCATGACCTAGTGTACGACTGGTTCGAGAGCCTGGCTCAGTGTTTGCACTGGAACGTACGCAAGAGGCAGGCACGACTGGAGGACGTCTCCGACTCGTCCGACACTGAAAACTGAATCAGCCGGTGCTTTCAACGCTCTCCACAGCAGCAGAGAGGGCGACGGTGTCGACAACATTCTCGACACGTAAACGCTGGACTGTGAAAGTGAGAGCATGCGTGTCTACAGCCAAATAAGTATTACGTTAGCTGATGAATAGCATGTTTATTGAGCATACTGTGATTGCAGTATTTTATACATTTGAGAAAGCATCGCACTACATTCCAGGGCAAAAATAATCTGCAATTCTATCTGTATTTTACCCGCAGAAAGCAGGATTCTCACCCACAAATGAAAAAAAAAACAATTGCAGTTACTTAAATGATTGCAATATATTCATATGTTGGAACACTCATCGTCAATGTGATGCTCAGTGTGTAAAATGTAGAGATTACTGTGATAAACTCTGGGGGATTATAGTTAAAACACACTGATAGATTAAGAAGAAAAAAAAGTGTAAATGTAAATTTGTACATAAAAGATTCAAGGATAAATGTAATTAATGTCATATTTATGTGATATTTATTTAGATGTAAGCTTAAAAAGAACTACCGAAGGCTACTGTTTATTTGTTCTGTACAAACATCTTCAGCCGACTCTCTGTACATCCCAAGAGAAGCTGGAAAGAATTTCTTCTGTCGATTGTCTTTTTTTCCCCTAATTGCTTTCTTCTCTAATTCTACAAGTCAGATTGCATGATGTAGAACAAAACTAAATAGAACAAGTTCCACCAGTCATGTTATTTTCATGATCATTAAACTGTGAACATGAAAGGAAGTAGTGCTAAAATAAGTTTAAATACTCACTCTTTTGTTCAGTCTGATCTTTGTGTGAACTCAAACTAATTCCTATTAGATAACATGAAAATATAATGAAGTGCTGAATTTTTAGAATATAGGCCTCATCTGCAGGAGTGGATTTGTGGGCTGGGATTTTTGTTAGTAATAATAATGGCAATCATTTTAACATGCATTTCTATATTGCTCTTCAAATCTGGAGACTTAACATTTTAAGATTGTTCCTGGACCTCTGGACATCCTGGTGTACAACTATAGTCTAATCTGCAGTGGTTTTAAAAATGTCAAAAATTCAATATATCAATTTAGGTCCGTAAACTTTTGAAAAGGTTTTAAATGCAATTTCCCTAGCTATTACATGTTGTAGCTTGTTTTCAATGGGTATATTTTTCCAAAGGACATTTTATTACATATTTTATGATATTCTTATTGCATATGATTTTATGCCTTTTAACGATATAGCATGCTGTATTATAAATTTTTTGTTGACATACAATACCATGACTATGGTAATTGTTTATACTATACTATGACTTTTAGACATACTATACAAAATGTTTAAACAAAACGCAGTCGAAAAAAAGTCAGTTTGTCGAAAAAGGCAAAAAAAAATCAGTGGTGTTTAAAAAAGTGAAAAAACTATAAAAATAGTGAAAGAAGTCTTTGAATAGGCTGTTGGAAAAAATGAACAAAATGTCATAGTATAGTTTTTCAAACAAACAAGTATAGCATGTTGAAGAAAGTAGAATAAATCAAAGTATAGTATGCCGATAAGTCATTAAGAAGTCAGAGTATATGTCAAAAAAGTAATAGTGCAGTATGTTGAATATAAACATAAAAAACACCACAGTATAGTATGTCAATAAAAAGTCTTATTGCCTTAATGAAAATAAGTAATGCCCTAAAGACAGTTATTCATCAATACGTCCAATGGAACTTTTTGAAGAAATTCTATAATTTAAATTAAATACCCGTTTTTAAATCACAATATTTTGTCCCAGCAAGGATCAGAACAATGCAAAACAAATACATAACAGGACAATATATGACAATACTTGTGTGCTTTCTATATTTTTATTGCAATGATAAGATACAGATATATTTCCAGACATCCAGTTTTATTAAATTATTCTCCAATATTGCATGAGACAGTATTTCAGAATGACATTGATCCAAATGTGGACAACGAGATCAAAAAGAGTTTTTGACCAGAGATTAAACATTGATGTTTTACAATTTCACTTTTTTTTTTATTTCCCCCAGAAATGTGCGATGAAAAGCAGCAGCATACAGAGTAATAATACTACAATATACAACAGACCGATACTGTGCAACAGCCTAGAACCATTTGGGGAAATCACTGTTTTTTTTCTCTTTTGTGGTTATGCCAATATTGAGTACAGCAACTCCGGACCCAGAGGTGCACTTTGCCCGTTTGTGGAAGATATTAGAAAATAAACATGGAAGGGTGCGAGTTAGAAAGTCAGAGAGCTACAACCCTCAGTGGGATTACAGGAGACGCAACACACTACTAAGTACAGTCTGAGTGAGTTCCTTTTTTAGGCAAAACAAATGTACTGTACAGAAAGCTGAGTGGAATATGTTAAGATATCGTTTCACTGTGAGGAGTTTTTGCCACGTCAGGTTAACCAGCAGTGTTACACAAGCCACTGTTTGTTAGTGAGAGAAATACAGATGTGGCAACAAACCAACCAGATGTTCAATGTTAGTGATGTAAAAAAGAAATACACAAATGTGTTCGTCTAATAAGTTCCCACTGTTTTCTAATCCCAGATGTTAAATTAAAGTTTGCTCTTTATGATCGTATAAAAACAAAAATGCATATTACAAACTGCGTAATAAAAATTAAACTTCCTAATACAAAATAAAAAAGGAAAAAAAAAAAAAGTATTATCGTTTCTTGGACTGTAATATTTGTGTGTATATATATATATATATGATTTAGCAATAGAATCCCTATATAAATGATAGATTTCTATTTTTTATACATAAATATAATCTTCACAATGACTAAAAAGGGAATTTCTAGCCAGAAAGTAATGTGAAGGTGTAGTCTGGTCAGTGGACCAGCGCCACGACTTCCACTGATGACTGTGTGAGACGAGACAGAACTGGTCTGGATGGGAGTCTAGTGCGAACACCTTCAAACGGTTTCATTGAGACCAAAAATCTTTGTTTAGCTACACACGAACAACCTTGTGCTGTGCTTTCTTTTAATCTTTATTTTTTCAACGATGCGAAAGGTTTGAGGAGTTTGACACTGCGGTTACAATATGAACGAATTAACAAAAGCATACCCCGCCCCTTCACACTCAACTGTCCGTGTTGAATCAGCATGCAGAACATCATTAGTCGTCGGGTTTGGCACTAGAGTTTACTTTATATCTGGTTCTGTCTGACAGATAATCAGTGAACTTAACGTCTTCTACCTTTAGTTGTACAACAAACGCTGCAATCTTTTTGTAAAAAAGAAAAGGAAGTATGCCAGCTGTGTCCCACTTACTCTTACAGACGAGTCCCACATTATTAAACATGAACTACTTCACACTTTGTGGAGGACTGCACTATGATTATAAGCCATTTAAAAAAAAAAAAAAAAGAGAAAAAGTTCTTATTCAAATATGATACTGTACCTCGAGGAGCCGTACTACTCTGCTGTCATAATACTCCATCCAGCCTCAACACGGTTCATTCCAGTGAACTACAGGATTTGGTCCGTCTGGCTTGGTTCAGGTTCTAAAGCGGGTCGGTTTGCTTCAAGGCCTGAGAAAGAAATCACACTCGCTGGCATTCAACAGGATGTAAAGCACGCTCCTGCCATGTTGTCTCACCAAAACACCAAAAAAACGTGAAAGGACAAGAGGCTTTCTGGTTAACCTGATTGTACCAACGACATGACAATGGGGGGGGGGGGGTTAGAGGAACCAGCATGTCTCCTCTTACTGGTCAGTTTAGCATGACAGCTTCTCTCCTCCTTCTGTATTTAAGATCTGGCTTTGACCTCACATCCAAATGTAATACGTAAACAAAGAAAAGGGAACATAAATAAGATATTTTGAGTTGAAATTGCACAAAAAGAAACTTGACACGAGAAAAGAAGGAAACAAAGATAAAGAAGTGTTTTTGTGGACAACTTCCTCAGGCAAAACATGTCGGTGGCAGTTTTCATTTTAACATGAATAACATCTGGGTGGGAGGGATCAGAGACACAATAAGGCTTCTTTTTTGATTATTTATTACCCCATTGTCGTGTACTTTCACCCGTCGTGTCTATCGGTACTTTCTATTGGAAGATCTCAAGAAGAAGAGACGGTGCCTCTGCTCAGAGAGGCCGGAGTAGCAGGTCCTGGAATCACAGGAGGGAGGAAAGGACAGAGAGAGAAACAGTGGAGAGTGATGGGATTGTAAGAAGTTTATGTTTCAGCAGTCTGGGGTTTAGTCTCGCTCTCACCCCCTTCTTTCCTCTCTTGCGTCTCCTCGTCTTCCTCCTCCTCCTCACCCTCTTCCTCTTCTTCCTCCTCTGTGTGCTGCTCCAGCTCCTCCCTGGTGATCATCTCAAAGTCGTTTCCGTTGCTGTGCTGCGAGCCTTCCTCCTCCCGGCGGTCGCTGTCTGTGTCCGAGTGGCGGTCCGCCCCCGTTGCCTCCCCCTCTACTTCTTTACTCTCCTCGGCCTCTTTGCCCTCCTCCTCTTCCTCCTCCTCCTCCTCATCGCCGTCCTTCTTCTCGCTGTCGGACTTTTCGTCGCTGTCGGACTTCTGGGCCTTGTTGCCCTCGCCGTCCTTCTCGTCCGTCTTGTCGGAGCCCTTTTTGTTGCTGGCTCGCGGCCCTTTGTACTCGTGAGTGTAGAGCGGCCGGAACGAGTCGATGAAGCCGACGTCCGCCGTCAAGTTGGGGAGGAACCAGAAGTGGTGGCGCCCGCCGGTCACGAGCCAGATTAACACGAAGAGGATGCATCGGGCTGAAGACAGAGGGGACAACAAGTGGGATTAACTTCAATCTTCAGCAATCGTCTCAAACATTACATCTCTTCTTAACGTTAGTCTGTTTGTCTCCACTTTTATTTCCCTTATTGAATATTTTGGGGCAATTTACAACTAATTACATAATTCTAAATGTATCACTAGTCTGATGTTATTTTTTTGTGTATTTGTATTTAGTTTTTATTGATTATTTTCTATTTCACTTATTTACTAATGCATTTTTTGCCTTGTATAAATATTGTGCTTTGCCTCTCTTTGTAAGAAGCTTTATCATTTGAACCTGATTTTAGCTGCTGAATCTGAATTAAAACGCATATTTTAGATCTTCTGTCTGCTTCTCTCTGAAATCACTTTTACGTTTATTCAAGGGGTGCAGTGAGTGACAGTGTGTGCTTCATGGTAGATAGTATGACGAGGTGGCAGCGTGGGGGCGGGGCTTAGGAAAAGGGTCAATTAAATGCAGGAACCCAGTACGGTGTTTCTATGAAGTACATGTACTTACCAACAGCAAGAAGTAATATACTGGCCACAAAGCAACCGGCCGCAACACTTAGATAGTAAACTCCTACACGCATTTCTGCTGGCCACAGTGGGAACAGTGTGGCTGCTATCACTGCAATGACTGAAAGACACAACACACACAGATGGTGGACAGGAAACGTCAAATCAGCTGCAATCAGTAACAAATAACACTTCATTCAGTTCTTGTTAAAAAAATGTTTTTTAACCTCTGACTCACCGAGTATCAGTCCCATGGCAAAAGTCTTGAAATGAACAGGATCGTAAATCCACACAAACACCTGAAGAAGAGACACGTGTTGGGTTTTTATCTTTTTCAGGATCCCGAACATGTTTCCTAAATATGCGCCGTCTGAGCACACTCACCTCGTTTCCATCTAGAAACAGCTGCTCCTCATGAGGCTCCAGTTTAAACTTCTTCTTCACCTCTTTCTTCTTCTTGGGGGATCCAGGGCTCTCATCCTGTGAAAATAAACAAATATTATATATGAAATCTGTATTTTACTTACAAATTAAAGTAATTCTCAAACTGTTTTAAGTTTCCAGTGTTGGGTCACGTACACTTTTCTCTTTCTTGGTCTCAACAGCCTCCGGCTCTTTCTTCTTCTCTTTGTCCTTCTTCCCTTTTTTCTCATCTTCTTTGCCACTGTCGCCCTTGGCCTTCTCCTTCTCTTTGGCCTTGTCCTTCTCTTTCTCCTTCTCTTTTTCCTTCTCCTTGTCTTTATTGGTGTCTTTCTCTGGTTTTTTCTTCACCACTTTGAGAGCCCGGTGGAAGAACTGCTTCTTTAGGAGTCTACAAAGGACGGAGGAGAATGACTTGATTATTTACTGTTTTAGTTTAAATCATCACTGTTTAAAGGAAAGGTCATGTTAAGGATTTTATCCCTAAATAGCAAAAAAACGTTTCAGCACTTGGTCGTTTTGCAAGACTGAAAGCACTTTTATTTTAATTTCATTTTCATGCACATAGGGCTCAGTATCATATTTGATAATAGAGGATTTTTTTATTGGTTCCAGCTTTAAAAATGTAAATATTTGTTGGCAGTAGAAGTATCATAGTATTAGTAGTTTTTGCTTCTTCTATGATAGAAAACTGAATATCAAGCAATTTGAAGACATCTGCGTGGATTTTGGGAAAGTCTGATGAAATCAAGAAAATAATCTGTACGTCAATTAATAGTGAAAATCATTGTTAGTTGCAGCTGCATATACCGGTGACCATATTGCAAGCGTATGTATAAAATGCTGAGATACCTCGTTATATAGATACCATGAGACAAATGTTGAATTATCTATGATATCAGAAGAGAAGCACAATGTGTGTTCGAACGCAGACCTGTTGCAGTAATCCACCACAGACTCCCTGGTGGTGAACACCGCCTCCTCTCCCTTCTTTGCCTTGGCCCACTTGGAGTCCAGCAGACTGTCCACTGCCTTGGAGGCTAAATGTAGGGAAACAAAGACGGACATTTAAAAAAAAAAAAACAACAAAAAAAAAACACAGAGTGGTACAGGACCAGAAAATGTCAAGCGGCCAGAATGTAAATGATTGGACGGGCTCATTGCCTGTGCACTCATTGGTTCATACACTTTGATTCCTTCTTATATTGCAACATTTTGTGGGGCCAAGCAAGTGCTATAGTAATCAAAGCCTTCAGTACACAATGGCATTACAATGTTTTATATCCTATATGTTCTCGGCGGTAGAATAATCCACTATACAACTATATAAAGGCCTCGTCTATCGTCTTTTCTGAGGACTTGAAATTAAGCGAGCAGCACATTACAAAACCTGGTGAATCAGTGTTAATGACTTATTACCTGGTGGCTTATAAATGCAGAATCTGTTAATATAGATTATTTATCAGTAATTACAACTGTCAAGTGTTCAAAAACAAACAAGAGGGCACGGTTTGATCTCCTGATTCCCACTCCACCGGGTGTCTAGGTGTTGTGTGCTTTGCCTCACATCCCACAGCAGAGCACTAACCAATAAAGTAGTCCACTCGGTGGCCCATCATGTTGGTGGACTTGGTCGGGCAGTTGAACCGGAGGTACTTCGCCACCGCCTTCTCCTCCTTGGTGGGGTCGCTCACCTCCTGCAGGACCAGACAAAAACAGATGAATATACATGCACACATAAAAACAAAATTACAGTCGGTCAATGATGCACATCTCTGAGGAGTGGGAACTACTTTCACGTGTTTTGCAGACACGGACAGGCAGTAACATCACAGAGCTCCATAGACTGTATATGGAGCTACTGAAAACTGCACCTGGAGGAATGGGACATAGAAGGGGAGGACCTGAAACATTCCAAGTGCAGTAGACAGTGTCTCCACTAGAGCTGTTGACATACCGATAGCAGTATCGGCAATGCCTCCAATGATAAGGTATTGGCAAGTGCAAGAGTCTATGCACCGATCACGTTGTCATATCATTTACCAGCTCATTTATGCTACTTAGGAAAACAACAAAACGCGTCAAATGCTACCAGATCAGTACGTCCTGCCCGATCGGTACTGCACATGTGCAAACTAGTATGACACACCTGTAGTTAAACACTACTGTTAATGCAACATTACCAACAACAACTCTGCGTTGAAATCGACACAAGAAGAGCTAGTTAACATTAGCTGTTAGCAGCCCTGCTTGGCTAAATCACGAAGCGATCAGCTGTTAACTGAGGCGCCATTGATTTACATTATGATGCGTTCAAACTCGGTTCAGTAAAAATGACTTAGTGGACGAAGGTAAAATCTTTTTATTTCTCATTTTTAACACACTGGTATCGGATCGGTTGTGCCCATCATTACGGTAACAGGTATAACTTTCTGAGTTATTTTGCATATCCAGTTTGAAATAGTGTAGATGTTCAACAGAGAGTCATCCTCCCGTCTGTCCGCCTGCAGCACTGAACCACATGCCAACACGGAGGGAATGAGAGCATCAGCACAATGAAAGCTGGTGCTGCTATATCCAGTCCAGCTGGCTAAGGCCAGCAACATGAGGAAGACGAGGCCATGAAACAAGCCTTTGTTTTAAAGGAGCAGGTATATCAGTCACACAGCTCAGTTACATGAGACCCCTACACGAAAAGCCCCCCGTCACCGTCTATATGATCTACCTGGCTTCAGATCATGAGGATTAGCCGCTCTGGTCTAACAGCCACAGTATGTAAAGAAAGATTTATTTTGGTCCACGCCAACACCACAGTACTGATCCTTTAAAACATGTATCCAAGTAACAGTTTGGTCTAGGTATGAAATCCATTTCAACGCTTTAATACTGTAAGACACAATTAAAAATTGCAATCGCGTCAAAAAAAGGAGACTGTTGTGTAACGCAGCATGGTGATCTTTAAAGGAGATAACAGTATGTGTTGTTATGCAACTGAACTGGAACATGCAGATACCTATACTTAGTTGGGTGATTATTAGGAACACCCACCACAAACTAATGCAACAACTCTGTTTTAAATCCCACCGACATGAAGATTATGGAGTTGCAACTGTTTCAGAGAGATGTTGATTCATTCATTTATGGTCCTTTTGTAAGCTGTAGTTTAGTTTGTCTCTCTGTTGAACTGTATCGTCATCCAGAGAAGTGTTTCTAATATTTAGTGTACCCTTACTCATGTAAACGGGGCAGATACAATCTCTTAAAACTGAACATTATAACGTGACAATAATTGACAATCGTCTTTTTCAGGTTTGCAAATCAATGAGATAACAGCATGTGTTCGTTATGCAACTGAACTCAAACAGACAAGAGAACTACACTCCGTTGCCAGTATATTAGAAACTACACCTAGCTAGAACTAATGCAGTCAAACATAACAATCCTGCAATAAATCCCACCTTCATGAAGATAAAAAAAAATGTATACTTTTTGTTTTGATTGTTTTAGAGAGGTGTGGATTCAACTGTGTTGTTATCATGGAGGCTTTAGTTTGTGGTGCTGTGGAATTGTATTGTGTTAGACTACAAAGTGTAGTAGTTCCAGCTCGGTGTACCTAACCAACCAAATGCTTATCAAAGTAACATTATTGGTGACAAATCCATTTCTAAATAGATAACTATCAAAGAGCAAAGAGCGAAAAGAGAACTATATTAGAATATTGGCTTGATGCCATGCAATAAGAAAGTTACACACTTTCATTCATCTTCAGTGACAGCAACAATAATAAAATAATACATCCTACTTTAATCCCACTGCTTTGTAGGACACTATTGCACTGTCCCAAATTCATACATACCAACTGTGTACAGTACTAGAATAATCAATTTAGTATGTTTTGCAACTGGTATACAATCAGCAGACAGAGAATTATACAATAGTTGCACAAGTGGACATTATGCAACAAAGGGATGCACAACGAAATGCAGTTTTGCAGCCAATTTGCAACACAAGACAAACAAAAGCAATAGTGCGCTTTTTGAATTTGCATCATAAGGAATGTAAACAGCAGCAACAAAAACAATTCTCTGGGCAGTTAAGATGACATTTTTTAACATATAAAAAGTGTCACCTGTGAACCTTTTCTTTCTATTCACTACCATGAGAAGCAATAGTGAACATCAGAAATCAAACAGAAAACTATTTTTCTTTTTATATTGTGAATACTGAGTATAATTGAGACACAAACTCACACCCTGACCACATTTAAGGTATGAAACTCACCCATGTCTTAATCAAAACTACAAGCAAACAATGGTACTTTAGTTGTCTGCTAATCTAGATCGTAAGCATAGAGTGATAGCCGAGTCTGTCCATGTCTCCTGAACCTGTAGCCACTCGATAAACTGTTGCTTCAACTGAAATCTATTGTCTAGTCTTTAAAGAGCTCCTGGAGCCACGCTGCCTCGCGGCTACCTGCACAGTTGTGACGTTACATTATGATGCACTGTGTTACTAGCTCATTAATTTAAAAAACCCGCAGATTGTCTCACTTTATGTACAAACACGTCTAGTTAGAGCTGACGCAGCTTATCCTGAAAACGTTTAACGGTGGTGGACAGTAGAGACAGCTCAGTAGAAAGTATAACAGCACCATGCTCGTGTTATATGTTAGCGCGTGAGTGCTAACTTATAGGTAATACAGATCACACTAAGCTAGGAAGCGTCTCATCAAAATACAGCTACACTAACGTTTGTTTTCGCTAGCCAGCTAATGCTAGCTACGGGTTAGCCATCATCTGGCTTCATCTTCAGCCGGATAAAGGCTCCCCACGAGGATGCTGCCGCTAAACAAACATCCCGCAACAGCTCGTGAACCCGCACGTGGTGTTTATTTGTTGTCTTTCAACTTGCACGGGCTCCAATTTCGTATGAATTAAGTGATGTTACCTGGATACGCTTCTTGTGCCTCCTGCGCTCCGCCATGATCCTCCAACTCAGCTCCAGCTCCCAGCTCCTCCGATGTGCGCGAGGCTGCGCACGCGCATAATGTGTAGTATCGCGAGACTAATCGATTAACGGTTGAAAAACGATAATTTCATTCATATGTTTAATGGACAATCTCTTTTTCTTCTTCTCTTCTCTCTCACTCTTTAAGCATGATCTTTATGCAATTATAATATACTTCAATGTATTCATTAGCAGTGGTGGAAAGTAATTACAGTACATTTATCCAGGTAACAGCTGTAGTTTATAATATTCTAAGGGCCCAATTGTACCTAGATGAGTATTTCTATTTTCTCCTTCTTTATACTTCTACTCCTCTACATGTTTGAGGGAAATATTGTTGATTGATACCTTTAGTTACTTTGCAGGTTAAAATCAATAGTATAAAATGAAATCAACAAACAATTGATGATCTATTATAGATTAAGATAAGACTATATGTTTTTTAATAATAGGGGGAAATTTACAAGCTATACCTGACAGTATATTTAGTAAAAATACCAGCTGCCATAGTAATAAGTAATATTGCATCAAAAATTGTAATTTAATAATATAATGTACATTATTTTGAAATTAGCCATTCTGCATACAAGTACTTTCACTTTAAGTATATTTTGACTTGAATACTTTTGTACTTTCTATTTTGTATTTATCAGCTTTACCTCTGTCCACATGAACACGTTTAACGATCTCCAATTGGTATAATTTGCTGTCACACATCCATAATCTTGGTTGGATTCTTCAAAACTATCCATTTTCTTATATTACTCTTACTTTTAATGTTTAACATTTTTTCATATTTTCAAAATTATGAATGAATGTCATAACACTTAATTTGTTATTGTTATTGTTTACTGTTTGTATTGTTTCATTTTCTTTGTGTTTCTATTGTATGTTCTTTCACTTTGGAAATGTAGACCGCTCTGACGACTTCTCGTCCAGGCAAACAAAAAGTTTTCTCATAATATGTGATACTTGTTATTCAATTATTTATTCCAAGCCATACTAGTAGTGATTTCTAGGTAGAAAAACACTTTATTTACAATCCAACAAATGTAAAAGTGTATCAAACATCCAAACATCTCACTTTCATTATTTCATTATTCAATAATAAAACCATTCCCATATTATTTCTATGGTCCTTATGATGCCTTACTGGAGAAATGACGCTTAGCAGCTTGAAAAATAAGAATGTTTAAAGCTACAGTCAGACGTTTAGAGGCCTGTAATGTAAAGAAGAAAAGGAAAATTTAATTGGACCTTCTTATTGTCTCATATCTCACACATCAGTTTCACTCAACTGTGCTTGTTAAAAATATATGCACATATATAAATAAATATAAAATACAAATATTTAGCATATACCTGGGCCAAGTGTGAACTTATACATAAAAAAAGTAGCAAATAGTAAAAAAAAAAAAAGCATCTTCAATCCAGTTAATCATAATGTAAACAAATCCAGGACTTTGTCAGTCAGGCAGAGCCATGCATGCTGTACTGTAGGTGCAGACTGAGGTCTGCATTATCAGTTCTGATCAGGCTGTCTCACTGCTGGCAGATGGAGGGGAATTATTTTCTGTCTCATGCAGGTGCTCTGTGGACTTGAGGACATCAGGGTCACTTGGACTCGCCATCATCTCCTCGCTGTTGCAGTTCACAGGGGAGCCGTTCTCTGATGAGCGGTCTGCAGCAGGCTTCTCAGGATTGGCCTGCAGTGTGGCGTTGGAGAGTGGCAGGTTCATCATGTACAACATGTTGCCTAGACGCCTGGACACCTGTGGAGGAATAAAGACAGTTGACACATAATAGTGTTTGCAAATGTGTCTGTAAAGGAATGATGAGTGACCTGCATGTAGAGGACTCTACTGTAATATACCGTACAGATTTAAAGACCACAGAGGCAAATGTGTGATTTCAGATTTTGGAATCTGTGAGTCAAATCGATGATAGACTCAAAAACTGAGACAAACAAAGGCCATGACAAGCTTCACCAAAGTTACATTTCGTGAAGAGTTATTGTATGGCTTTGCACAGGCATTCCTGAGTTTTATTTTAAAGTAGCACACATCCCATCTTTGAAGGGATCAAGTCTTGATTGTTCAGGGCTCAGTCAGAGTTCGTGTTTCCTACCTGTGAGCGGATCTTAAGAGCTGGTCCCAGTTTGAGTCCCAGCGTGTCCAGTAGGTGCTCCTCTGACAGGAGGGGCAGCGTCTCGCCATCAATCATGTGGTCCTTGAACGTCTGCAGAGTGAATTCACACCACATTAGCACAACAAAGCCACAACAAAAAGTGTAAAGACAGATTCAGAAAACTGTAGAAACCAACCTGAGCGTATTCTGAACATGTGGGTACGCTGTTGATAAAGTTGTAAACATCATTGACTGTCCACTTCCTTAGGTCTTCGGACACCTCATCACTGTTGAGAAAGAGATTGGGTGGACCTGGAAAAAATAATGACATACATCTTTGTTGGTGCTGTAATATACACATGAAATTAATTTGCTGAAATAATATATTGTAATCTATCTTAACTCACCAGGTGGAAGGAAACCATTTCCAGGGACTGGGAACATGTAAGGCATGCCTGGGAGTGCTCCGCCAGTGGAGGGATACATGAATTTCTCTTGGAAAGCTGAACATTGATTGTCTTTATCATTTGCACCACTGTTGGCCACATCCGACCCATCTCGACTGTTCATACAGGCTTTTCGTAGACCAGGCTCCCCCTCTTTATAGTTCTTCCTGCTTCCAGCAGAGAGTTCAGAGTCGATTTTTGCTTGATGGTGTGTCTTGCTGGAGGGACACTCCTCTCCCATGTCCCCCTTTGCCTCCACCTCTTTCTCCTCCCCTGACGTGGCTCCCGGGCTCTGCTCTACACTTTTATCTTCAGTTTGGCCCTTCAGGTTGGACACATGGCTCTCTGCGGTCTTGTGAATGTTCGGCCTCCTGCCAGCCCTGCGTCCCCTCTCTCTGTGCAGCGTGCTGATTGGTGGGTAAGGGCTGGCCGACATGAGGATGCTGTTCGAGTGCAGTTCATCCAGGGTGGGACGGTGGACGAAGACATCGTGGCCGTCTGGCATGCGCTGACGACCTCTGAACGCCATGGGGTTGGAAGGGTACGATATGTGATTTTCAATTCCCATAAGTCCCTTCTGGTGGGCATTCTCCAGCTCCTTCTGGTGCAGGATGGCATTCATCTCCATTCTGAACAGGAGCACACACACATATTAAACATATTTAAGCAACGATAATGATGGAGCCACGCTATGCAGGTGGAATGTTTCTGTGAGATGCTGAGGATATTCTGAATGCACTACCTGGCTATATTTTGCTTGTGAATGAACTCCTGTCGCCGGGCCACTGTTTCCATGGGCTCTTGGGGCAAGAATCCATAGCCAGCTGAGAAAAACAAAAAGGCGGACGAGTGTTAACGCTTGTTCAAATTCTTTAGGATGAAACGGACAGGTTGTAATTTCTTTTCGGTATGAAATTGAATCGGGCCATGCTCACCTGCTCCAGGGTAAGCTCTCCCAGGCAGGATGTTGGCGTGGTGAGGTAGAGGTGGACCCAGGTGAGGGCCCATGTGCATTTGTCTGCCGTCGGATGCTACCATCTCGGAGGGGGGAACCAGCTCTCTGATGAAGGAAAAGCATGGAAAATCAGTCATCTAGACATAATATCAACGGATAACCAGCTGTAATAATTGCTTTTTTGTTAATCACTAAGGTACATTTTGTATATTTTCAAAATTTTCACTGTACAGAAACATGCATCAGATATTTCTCAAGTATCCATGTCTTCTTCACTTATGCACTGTAACTGACACTTCTCAGGGGTGCCCTTCCCCAAAGAGCTATACCCTTTTTGGGTTGTAAGTGTGTATTCAGGTACAGACCTCTCCATGAAGCGAGGTTCGAACTGCGCTGGGACCCCCTGTAACCTCTGCTGCCCCTGGGAGAGGATCTGGGGAGCCATGGCCATCTGGTTCCTCATTATCAACTCTTGCCTCTGCCTCAGCTCTGCAAGAGAGAGAAAAACAAACACAACAGGTGGAATGTCGGGGAAGCCAGTTTAGCTGAATGCCGTGAAACCGAAAGCTGGAGACTGCAGGTACAACTGAGCAGGTAACGATCCACTAAAATCAATACATGGCAGTCAAGGTCTGAAAGTTGGTTTAACCTGTTTAGAACTTCAGATTGGACAATTTATATGGAGTCAGCAAATGTGTAAATAATAAACCCATTATACATCTATAGAAATTCTTGTGATTGTCTAAGTTCTGCACCTATTCTTAATTAACTGTGATTTATTGGAAAAATTCAGTTTTTCATGTTTTCTTGGACTCATATTCATATTTTATGCTGTTGTTTGCCTCGTCTCCTCCATGTTTTCGTTTCTCACCTCCAGCTGACATGCCGTTGACTAGACGGTACCAGTGCTTCTCATCCAAAGCCCCCTGCTCTCCCAGCGCTGTCATCTTCCTCAGCTGCTCTCTTGGGGTCATGACACACCTGAACGCTGTTGAAGTTTAAAAAGAGGATGGAACATGTGACAATTACTTTGACCAACTGATTACTGTAATATGTCATTATATATAGCTATATATAGCTTTAAAGTATACATTCATAGAAAATGTAATTTGGATGGATGAATACATTTAGTAATTTGTCATCAGTGCCACAAGGAGGCAGCAAATATCTATATGTTAAAGAGTCTCATTATGGTCACTGTGCTGTCCTGCTATTTTCCAAAAGAAGAAACATCACACACACACACACACACACACACACACACATATATATATATATATATATATATATATATATATATTAAAAACAACAGGCAAAACACATTTATTTAAGCAGAGCTGTAACAATGAAATATCTATATTTAGTCTGGCACAATAAAATACAGCCTAGATAATAAAATGTGTTAAAAGGGGACTTCAATGAACTGCCAATATGGGATCCATGTACACACACAAATTTGTTCCCTAACCTTCGATCCTTCCTCTC